GTGGGGATTCTAGTTGATGGTTGAGGGTTTAGGGTTTCGTGTTCAAGTTTTAGGGTTGAAGGCTTAGGGTTTAGGGTTGATTCAACTTCGTCAATTACCATGTGATCTTCAGGACTTTTTAGAAGGGGGCTCTGGGACTTTCTTCCGCAACTAGCATGTCAACAAAGCTGCAGATCGGAGACTCTATCTGCAACCAGCGGTTCACCACAACAGGGAACTCCCGGAGACTACCTGAATCACTCAAAGGATCCACCAACGGCTCCACCTGGTCGTCCAAGCTGCGAGCCCGCGGCTGGTCCTGATGAGATCAGACGCACAGCCCACGGCTAATATAGGGGCCTTGATAATTAGAGTAGGCTTTTTGGGGTACGTTATACTATATAGTTATCATAAGGGAACCCCAAAATAGTATTGGTGATTATTTAAGCCGCTGTATTATGCAGGCCAAGGCGGAACACTGATCAGGGATTGCTACCGAAGGAGGGCAAATATTAAGGACCATACTCCAGTACCCAAGGTTGGAGGCAACATGCCAAACGGGCTTGGGCCTGATATGCTGATATGCGTCAAACCTCCTCGGTAACATGGGGGGTGGTTTGACAACGTCGTTTCACCTGGACGTGGGTCGAACAAATATCTTGAGGCACCCTGAATAGTTTCAAGAGGGTTTGGGGGTAATATACGACAAATATATAAAAAAAACCCAGTCTATTTATTAAGGCCCCTACATTAGATTCACCCAAGACATCCCAAGACACACCGGCTCCCTGATGCTCCCAGCTTTTGCCATGCGGCACCTTCCTGCCATGCCATTGTCGTGCGGAGTGGTGCGCATCTTCACTGCGGGGTGTGCTTGCCTTGAAGATTCGTTCATAGCCATGGTCAGGTCATGAACCTGACTGATGAAACAACATCTCCACCCCACGGCCCTATATCGGCGGCCCTACACCCAGAAGTACCTTCGGCCTAGAAGCCTTATAGGGCCTTAGGACTCAAGGCTTACCCTCGCTGAGGCCGATTGCGCACCTATCAACCGGCTGTGATGCTCAGAGCTCTTCTCTGAGAAGCAAAGTGATCTCAGCCATGGCTATTTTGCCTTGCTGACTTTTTTCCCACCCGCCCAGCAGACTATGTCGCAATGCAAGGGGTAAGGCATGGGTAGGAGTTTTGGCGCTTCCGCGCTGGGGTTTAGGGATGTGCATGTCTGATGTAGTGTAGTGGTCCGTCACTCTCACTTGGGCTTTGGACGGCACAGCGAAGAGCTTCACGGCTCGGGCTGTACGGACGAATCACATGTTTACACAGAAGTTGCTGTGGCTAAACCTCCGAGATCACTTCCTTTACTTGTGAGACAGCGCCAAGATGCCTGATCACACGCACTGCAGTAGACTTTGACGGCAAACATTGAAAGCCCGGCTCCCGAGCATCATTGGCTTTGGACTTTAGAGCTCGTACTTCGCACCGACAGAATACCGAGGCAGTAGAAATTCGAGGGAACATTGTGGCTAGTCGGCTAGCGCGGTTACTGTATGCCTAATTCATATTATCTCAGCAACAGACCCCAA